TCGGTCAAGAGGGCCCTGACTCTGTTTCTCTTGGCCATTTCTTCTTCAGCGGTCAGTGGGATTAGTCTGATTTCTGGCAAGGTTGGGTCCGGTTCTGGGGCCTCCTCTAGCAAAAAGTCGGTCACTTTCGCTTTTCGGCGGCCGCTGTATCTATAGGTCGGTTCGAACTTTAGCAGCTTGGCCCAACTACGTTCTGGATACTGTAGTGCGGCGCGTGAGGTTGCTAGATTTGGGTAGCTGCAAAGAGACCGAAGGTGGGCAGAATCTACGAAAGAAAACAACTGTTAGTTCGGCTGAAAAATTGAAAATCGAAATATTGTAAAGCACGCAAGAAAACCGAAGTAATTATACCAGGTGTTCCTTTTTTCCAATTGATGCTTCGGCCAGGAATCTGGGCTTGGTGATCCTCAAAATTCCCAGACACCCAGAAAAAATCGTCGTCATTCAAGTCTTTATCCGGTGTGTTTTTTATTATTTTCTCATGTCGACGACGTATTCTAAGATAGTACACCAAGCCGTCTTCCTTCGAACCAATGGAGTATTGGTGAAATATTTCGGCCAGACCAAGGTTGAGACCGGCTTGACGGTTTAATTCGGCTATTCCCATTATTATACGGTATGAATTGGTGGATAGTTGGGTTGGGCATAGTCTGGTTTGCCTAAAAAACTCGCAAATTAAGGGTTGGACTGGAAATCGTAGTTCGGTTTCAATTATGGACAAGAGGGTGAAGGGGACAAAGCCTTCATTCCCCCAGGGTATGACATCTTTTTCGGCTAAAATTAGGTGGACGTCGTCGGGTATATTGTAATCTTTTCGGAATTCGGCTAGACCGCCCAGAGTATTTACTAGAAACCTATACTTTTCCATTTATTGTATAATTTATGAATAAGTTAGTTCGGTCCAAAAATTGTGCTCAGTAGCTCGGTTGAGCGAGCAGAGGAGTGCCTGGGCAACCTAAGTCTGCAAAGTGAAGAACAAAGGTGTTAATCACAGATCATTGGGCTGTGCTACAAATTAAAAGCAAGATAAAAAGAAGTCCTACTACGACTGTGTGGGATGCTACAGGTTCGGTTTCGGTTTCTGCAAGGTGATTTGTAGCTCGGTTTGAGCAGGGTTTTTATTTAGCTCGGCCTTGGCAAGCATCTCGGTATCTCGGTTGTGGAAACGGTTTTGTTAGACCGGTTGATCGTCTAGGGACAGCTTTCTGAGTCTGGTCTAAAAAACTAAGAAAGCTAGTTTAGCCCCAAAGGCCTAGATCGATTGGAATTCAGGTATCACAGTATTCTAAGTGCAAACTTAGTTCAGTTGGTTACCTTGGCTGAGATAACACAAGAAGTGGTTTGACTTATTAAAACTACTGGTGTAAACATGAAGTGTTAGTCCGGTTGTAAACTAACTAGACTTTTACCTAGCATAAAACAGTGTCCTAGTTCGGTTGCATCATGATTTTGGATCGAAAACTAGTTTTCTACAGGATATTACATGTATTCATGTGTTCTATTGTTAAGTTTTTCCAGAAAAGTACAGAGCAAAGCGAAATGGACAAATGTGTTTTGCAAAAACACACAAAACAAAGTACAAAAACAAGGGAAAGCAAGATAGAGGAGCAATACTTACCAGATGAAGAAGCAAGAACTGGAGATGAAAGTAAAAGGCAGCAAAACACGAACTCTTTCAGAAGACGAAGAACAGTGAAGAACTCAGAGAAAAGGAAGAGAATGAATAGTAGAAGTGGAGGGATTTTTTCCTTAGGATTTGTTTTTGTTAGAAAGCCCAAAATTTGGGCGGGACTGTTCAAAAAACATGGAGTACGAAGACGGCGTGACAGCCGTCCTTAGTCAATCAGAGCATGCCACGTGCCATAAGAATGGTAAGCGTTTCAGTCTCTGTGATTGAAGAGACGTTACTACCGGACAGCCAGAACTCGGTGTGAGAGTAGCTCGGTTGGATAGGCTAAAAATCTATAGCTCGACTGGTTGACAGATAATCCCAATCATGCTAGGCAGATGGAATTAATGGGCAATTGAAAGGGTAATTTATGTGAAAATTGGGCCGAGCTGGGTAATGGGCCGTTATGAGCTGCAGTACAAAGGGCCAAGTAAAATGGCCGTGTAAGTTACTCCGGTCGTGTAGATATTTTGAATTTAGTCCGGTCCTAAGGCCGTGAAGCTAGTCCGGTCCGACAGAAGATCGAAGTTAGATCGGTCTAAACGGTGCTTTGGAGTTAGACCGGTCTTGGAGTTACACCGGTCATGACATGTTAGTCCGGTCTAACCACGCCATAGGTTGTGCAGGAGAAGCCGACGTAAGGGCAGTAAAAGGAAGAGCTAGTTCGGCTTATTCTGCGGCTATGCATAGCCATGATTACTTCGGTCATATTGGAGTTCGACCGTGGTAAAAACCATCTCACTTGGTTTAAGCAGTGAGGGGGGTGTTGAAGGATAAGCATTATCTTTCATGAGTATGAATCCTAGGAGGACTCTGCATGGAGGAATAAAAGTCCTATTAGGATTGTGCCACACGAAATTTATAAGAGCTCACAAACATCACCTTTGGAGGGGTAACACACAACTTTGCTTTCTGAATACACAGAGCTTTTGTCTATTTGTCAAGCTTACTGACTTAGGCATCGGAGAGGTTTCCGACACACACCCGCCGGCTAGCTCACGTTTGTGTTTTCAGGTGATAAAGCGACGACGTACAGAGAAGCGCAGACTTGATCAACAGGATTATACGATAAGATTTATTTCTTTCCCGTACACTAATGTTTGTTATTTTAGTAGTTTTGTGAAGTGTTGTAATGGACATGTTACGATGTCAGTTAACAGTACTATGTTGAAATATAAAAGGAAATGAAAAGCAGGTTCGTTATCTTCCTTCTTACTTTTCTTTCCCTTTTTCTTCTCCCTGTCGGATAATACATTGTCAATGCCTGATCATTTTTTATGTCCCTTTCTCTTTTGTTTTGATCTCCCTGACCATAACCAGTCACATTTAATTGAATTTTATTATGATTTGATATAATCTAATGTATGTAACTTTAACTATGGGTGTGTGCTACAATATTTTTTACAGGTGTATACTATAAATTTTTTTAGAATATGTACATTTTGCTTGATTTGGTTATCAATTATTTTTCATTGAAAAATCAACATTTTTTATGATTATTGTAACAATCCGAAAAATTTAAGTTGTCGCTTAAATTTTATATTCGTATTATTTAATTATAAATGAGATTATCAGAAAAAATATATATATAATTAGTTTAGATTTGGAAATTGAACCTAAAAGTAAGAGATAAGCATGAATTAATGGCGTATTAATGGGAATGCGACACATGGGCAGCCACGTGGCTTGGTGCCCATGATTATCTTTCTATATAAAGGAGGGGGAGTTGCTCAGGAGAGAAAAAAGAAAGGAAATTAAAGGAAAAGAAACTAAGAAAAGAGGAAGAAAATACTGGAACTCGAAAGGGTCTTTGGTAGTTAAAAGAAAGAATGAGGTATTAATTTTAAGGTGAGTTATATTATACCTTAAGTTACCATAATATATTTTACGTATATTTTGACTTACCATAATTTATTTTATACAAGTTATGTTTTATAAATTATTATAAATTATATTCATATTTCAATTACGTGGGTTATTTTCTAAATCCTATTTGCTTAAAATGAAACCAATGGATATGTTTGTTTAACTTTTAAAGAATATTTGACTATAACTTTATAAACAATTATGTTTTGTAAGTATCATCACGGGAGTCCCACGCCTTGGGGGACTTAAATAACCATTAGCCTCTGTTTGGTCACTTTGTGGCCCTTTATTGTCATGGATCCATTGACCTCTGTTCTGTGCGGAGCAAAGTGCTGTGCGGAGATAAGTGCTACACTATTGTGGGAGCCATCTCTATAATCCGTACGAGCCACCTCTTGAATTCGTATCTCTGTTCTGACTGTTACTTCTGTGATCTATGTTCTGTTCTGTTCAATACCATGGTTATGGTTATTTATTTACATAATCTCAGTTTTGATACTTAAATGATTATTTGTACAGACTAAGTTGTCTTAAATATTTTAGTTACATAACTATCCATAGTTATTTTGTGTCCCTTATACTCTTGGTATAATATTTCTCACTCTGTCATGTGCTTATAGCTATTTACCAATTTTCAAGAAACAATGCAATTCAGAAATAGCTTTTGGAAAGTCGGGTTGCGAAATAGACACACGCAGTACTTTTATGATATTTTTATATGTAAATATCAGCCTTTTTGTTCAATAAATTTTGTAATAAAAACAGAAACTCCGATGATTATTTTGGTACCCTCACTTAAATATTATTTCTGCTCGCATTTATTTATTTGTTCAAGAATTTGCCAGAGGTAACTTCAGTTACTGGCCATCACGATGCTTAACCCTTGGGTACAGGAAGCGAGTCGTGACAATTATTAATTGGAAAAGAACCAAGCATTGTTTAGAAACCCGAATCGGACCGGCCGGTCGAACCTGGAACCGGGCTTTGTTCCGATCCGAAAAATCCTCTAAAATCGGACTAAGGGTAAAATCGGTGTAAAATTGAAAAACTAGCAGACCTGACGGTCGAATCGGCGACCCGTTTTGAGACCCAGCCAATTCTGTTATGTATATTTTTATTTGTTTATTTTTTCTCCTTTCCTTTCTTTCTTTCTTATATATGTATATATATATATACAAATATATTTCAAAATTTTAACTAAAAACTCTTACTTCAAGTGTCTCCTCTCATAAGGAGGAGTCTCATTGAAAGCTTGAAGAGATTATGAAAATCTATTGCTATTTATAGGAAAAGATTTTTCAATACCTACAAAATTCTATGTGGGATTTAATCAAATTATTTGAATCACATTGATTGGAGGGAGAATTGAAAATTTCATTTCCGTCCAAAATTAAATCTAGCATTCAATCAATTTGTTTGAAGGGAATATTAAAAAAATTTAATTTCTTTAAAACAATCATAAAAGTCTGTATGAAATATTCTTCGCTCCTTGCCTCCCACATCGTAGAAAGAAAGATGCCTCAACCATATCATATGTTTTGCCTTCATAGATATCCTATTTTTATTGATTTATCACTTAAATGAAGCTTGTAAAGCACATAAAGCACAAAAGCTAGTTAGATAAGGGCTATACATTCCTCCTGGTTTATTGTTTTAGCATTCTATGCTAGGTCCGGATATCCACCAAGCCCGAAGGTCAAGGTGCTAGAGGTTTGGCATGGCACCATGCTAATTGTTTCATGGAATTGTCTCCAACTACTCAAGTGGAGAAATTGTCAGGATGGGATAGCCTTTCAGCTTCTGATCAGTTGGCTGTTCGTGCCCTGGTTAAGAAGGTTCCCTCTTCCAGTAAAGGTGGTATCAAATTTCTTTTGTAAATATGTATTTTCTTTCAATACTGTTGTGACTGCATATTTTTCTAATCCTTACCTTTCAGGCACAAAAGTTGAACTACAAGAGGAGGACAAAGAGTCCTTACAGCAATCAACATTGAAAGGTGGTGCTAAACGTAAAAGAGCTGTGAGCGGTGATCAAAAGTCAAAACTTTCTAGAAGTGAAGAGAATTCCAACTTGCTGGGGAATGAACACCCCAAATCATCTGATTTGGAGAGTCTGCTGGAGGCTCAGACTAAAGAACTATGGGCTCTAAAAGACGATCTTAAAAAGAAAGTGACAACAGCAGAGTTGCGAGAGATGCTTGAAGCCAACAGCCAAGACTCAACAGGATCAGAACTTGACTTGAGAGACCGATGGTAAGGTCTCCCAGATGCAACTTCTTGCGGCCATTATCATCATGAGAAATCTGTACTTCCCTATGTTAAATACTTGAACCATGAGCTTATGTTATAAATGGTTTTACTTGCTGTTTTTATGTTTGTCAAGGAAATATTATGAATGATCTTAGTACCCGCTAATCTTCTTCTTCTTCTTCTTCTTCTTCTTCTTCTTCTTTCTTTCTTTTTGACAAAAAACTTGAATTAATGGTTTAATATACTTAAACAAAATATACTCAAACTGTATTCTTCCTCTTTCTTTCTTTTTTATTTAGAAAAAAGCTTTGTTCAGTGAAATAGAGGTAACTCAATTCTTTTTTACTGACGTGGCTGGATTATTAGCATAATTTTTATCAATCATGATTGTCATTTTTATCATTCGATATATCAACCAGCATCCTCTTAGATCAAGCACAAATTCAAATAATTGAGCTAAAATTCTATAAATATAATATTATTATTTTATTTATTTCTAAATAATTGGTTTTGATTTATTTTATTTTTTTTTTTTGGGTAGAACAAAACATATTGTTGAAAAATTAGTGAGAGTTACACAGTAGTCTAGGATACGAGATCCGTCTGGCATCATCATAAAGTTTTTGCTTAATACAAACACGAATAATATGATGGGTAATGTTTAGGTGTGCAACCCCCTTAAGGTTGCACACCATATGTAAGGTGTAAATGCATAAAAATGTCGTAAATACAAGGTATAAAAGAGTGTAAATGTAAGATCGTAAATGCCTTGCATACTATATGCAAAGCACGCTTAAAAAAAGTCCTAATATGATAGATAAACACGTCTTCATTCCTCAAGCTTTTGCCAGCATATCAGCGTAATCATTTTTACTTTTGGATAAATGTGTTTAATTTCTATCACTCCTAGTTAGACCATGAGGCACTTGCAATCCAAAAAGTAAAAAATAAAAAATGAGGTTGCTCGGGTTTATTTCTCATTATGAGTTGCCAAATTGTTGTGGCATTAGTTTCTACATCGATGTTCTCTATAAGGGTGAACAACGGATATATCGATTCGTTCAAATGAATCGAACCAAATCAATCTGTCGCATTATGAATGGATGCGTGATGAAGAGCAAACGGTTGCAGATTGATTTTTTTCAATTCGCCTAATTTTGAACGGATGGCAGATTTGAGATTCATTTGGCCACAACCGAACCGCCAAACCGCAAGCACCCCAAGTAATTTGTAAGACTTTGTGTTTTCAATTTGTTTAGATATTCTGTTTGTGTTTTCAATTGAAAAAGAGTTAAAATATTTTGTTGAATATATTCTGTTGAAAAAGAGTTTTCAACTTGAATATATTTTTTGAATTGAAAAAAATAAATGTATTATTTATTTATATTTTGTAGTTTTTAAATCTAACTCTAAAAATAGTAAATAAAAAAGAAGATATATGCTGGGTGATTTTTGTTTTCAAAAACATATATAAATGTAACGATACAAAGGTATACAATCTCTACTACTAATCTGTTCATAGTTTTGGTGGTTTAAATTGTTTTTATATTTTAAGAATCACAACATATTGTAATAATTTATGTGGATGAGGCATACTGTGATTATAATATGTGGATGAAGCATGTAGTGATTGTAATATTCTAAAATTTTGAACTTTCTTTAGATGAGACATGCAGTGATTGTAATACTTTTTTAAGTCATTGACTGTAATACTTTTTTTTTTTTTAAGGAAGTGCACAAATTGAATTATGTTGAAAATTTATAAAATTAAACCGTCAATCCGCTCAATCCACATCCGCCAGATTAACAGATGGATGCGGATTGATTTTCTAATCTGCCAATCTGGCGGACGGATGGCGGATTAGAAGTTCTGTGGCCGTAACCGACCCACACCCACCCCTAATTCCTTATATTGAGGTATTGGATAGATGGCAACAAATAAGATATGGATTGGGGGATCCCTACTCTACTTCACTTTCATTTTTGTCGCTTGTCCCTACTCCTGACCTGACTCTCATGAAATTCTCCCTCACTCGCATCCAAACTCAAGCCCAAACCTGTAAATATAACTCCCACTCCAACCCTACACAATCCGTTAAAAAATTTAATAATAATATTAAAATTTAATAATTAAAATTAGAAAATGCTAGTTATAATTAAAAACATATGTTATATTATATATATAACACATCATAAAAACTCAATTGATATTATTTATATTCTATAAAAATTCAACAATATTATATATATATGTAATATTATTATTTATTTATTACTATATTTACGGGTTGTGTAGGGTTTGGGTAAAACAAATACTCTCTCTTGTCCCCCGACCCAAACCGAATCGGTTTTTTTTTTTAAAAAAAAAAATTCTCCAAAAACCGAATCGGTTTTTTTTTTTAAAAAAAAAATTCTCTAAATTCGACCCTACCATATTCAACTACTTCCAAAACCATCACATCAGGGTCGGGGAGAGTCAGAGACCCAACAGATCGGGACATTTTGCCATCCCTAGTCTAGGGCCAACTAAAGGTCATCTCTAACGAGCCAGCCAATTGCAATTGTATTAACATTGACTTATTGATATATGACTCGCACTAACCTTATTTTTCCATAAAAATTGTCTCACGTTTATTTGGATAATATATTTGTGTGACGGAAATTGAATTAATATAGCATGAGATCTAATTATAAATTAATTAAATCATAAATTGATATTTCTAGATAAAATATAAAATACAACTTTTAAATTTATCATGTTACTTATAACAAGAGAGGTGATGTACGTGTTCATTAGGTGACACCAACGTTTCAACAACATTCAAATTTGCCACATACTTCTTGTTTTCCAATTTGAAGACATTCATTGACGCTGTATTTAGTTAGAAGATTTATAAATAAATTTAGAAAGAGAAAAAGAAAAGATTGGTGAAACTAAGTGAAATTTATGTATATTTTATTCACATTTCACATACATTTTCCTTTTCCTTTTCCTTTTCCTTTTCCCTTTCTAAATCATTTCCAAAATTTTCCAACCAAACACAACATAATTCTATTTTCTAAATCAGCAATGCAATATATACTTATATAGTATAATTTCTTTCGTTATTTTTTCACTCTACAAAATAGTCCTATTAATAAATGAAAAATTTGTGAAAACTGTGTTTTAATCATTTTATCAGATTGATATCAAATTAAAGGAATGGTATTTTTTTTTTATCAAATCAAGGGAGTTTTTATCAATTCATCAAATTTTACACGTGGTCGTTCGTAAACGACTGGCTGGACGACTGACCAAACAACCTCTCAGACAATTGAATTTTGAGATGAATTAGGAATTTTGTAAATAAAAATTGATGAAAATTTACTCTTCATCGGACGACCGACAAAACAATTAGCCAGACAACTAGTTGAATTGCTAAAACTTACTCTTTACCGTTGAAATGTATCATATCAAATCAAACTTAAAAATTTGATGAAGCATTGAGATGCTCTAAACTACCAAATTTTGTAAACATCTTTGCTCTCAACTTATTATAACTAAAACAAAAATAATATATCTTACACCTATTTGTTAGTGAGTCCTACTTTCTTTTGGGTTGGTTTGGAATATGGATATTTTTTATTATTATTATTTTAGTCTGATACTAAAAAGTTTTGTTTGGAATGAACTTTTTAACTTTTTTAACTCTTGTGAAAGAAAAAATAAAATAATTATTGTTTAAATGTGACATTTTGTTTTATTCACTTTTTAATCTATTTTGTCATTTTTATAATTACTTTTAACTAAAAAATCAACTAAATCCATATGCTAAACAAGTGCTTTGTGAAATCAAATGATAACATTATTGCTTTAATTTCATCTCTAGACCTTCTAGTACTGTTCTTGGAAAAAAATTTACGTTGTGCTTGGTTGGGAGATTTAAAAAAGAATTTGAAAAGAAAAGGGAGAAAGGTGTGTGAAACTAAGTGAAATATAAGTATGTTTTACTCACATTTCACCTACCTTTTTCATTTCCTTTTCAAAATCCCTCCTCAAATCTCTCAACCAAACACAGTATTAGGGGAAATTGCACATTAGTTGAATATTCATAAAATATTTATAAATTTATAAAAATATTTATAACTTTAACTGTTAAAATTAATAAAATTTACCACTAATTTGATTTTTTTTTTTTTTGATGAATTGCAATTTCCCAAACATTTATGCAAATTACTTATAATTTGTTTTACTAATTGATGTTGACATATAATAATAAAATTTTTTAATGGATCTGAAATGGAAATTGTATGGGAAGGAAATATCCGTCGTTCTCTGTACTCCTTGAGTCTAAGCCTCACGTAGCATCGCTTAACCTGAGAACATAAAGACGGTGAGCTACCCGGCGGTGTGCTGCCGGATAAATCCTCTGACGATCAAGTCAGCACACTTGGAGAAGAAGAGAGAAGGCAAAGCACTTTCTAGAGAGAGTATATCAAAAATAGCTTCAGGTTGCTTACCTCTAACGTGTGCCTCTTCCTCCTTTTCAAGGCTGGCCATGCAGCCTCACAAATTGTGGGCACACTACCTCTATTGTCCTTTCTAGACAGGCGGTTGTATTCTCCTCTACCTTTCTTACACGTGTAGAGACCGAAACTGCCAAATAGTGTTTATTGCACTGCCAAATGGTATTGACGCATACCAGGAGTGGATTTTCCTCTTCTCGTCATTGGCTCACGTGGAATATTGAACCGAGCTATTACTTGGTAAAACATAACACCACGTTGGACTACTTAATGTGTGGTCGAACCAAATCGACCTATCAGCGCCGACTGAAGTCAGGCACGCTGTTCGGTATTTCTGTTATTCATCGTGGTCTCATGGACCGTCTGTCTTCGCAACTGCAATTCAAACCACCGACAGCTCGGCCCCGCCGTGGGCCTATTTGACCGGGTCTGGCCCAACACCATAGCTCAGCCCAATACATCTCGGACGATCCTAATCTGGCGTTGCACCATATTCAGTGTGGATCCAATTCGGCC